AAACAGTGGAGGAAGAAGACTAGGACAACTAGATCATATGTTGTCTATTGGTAGAAGGTCTTATTTATATGCTATGGGCCTTACCTAATTAGGTGGTCTACATTAAGGTGAACGTGGGGAAACTAGTATTAAGTGAATTTGGATCACTCAAGTTCAATCCAGACACATGTATTCTTGTACATGCATTTATTACACCAAAATCATGTGAGAATCACGTGCATTAAGTCAACAAGTTCATTTATGAAGAAGAGGTGTAAAAATGACTGTGCATATTTATATGGGTAATGAAGTCACGCAACGAAGGCATGTGGCAAGAGCCCCAAGTTTATCGAAGCTAGAAATCCATGAACCAATCAACAAATGCTTGGTGAAATAAGCCGAGCAATCAATCAAAGTTCCCATTGAAAAACTACTAACCGAACCGAGCTTCTAGACCGAGCAAAGGATGCAGTTAGCAACTTGTTCACAATCTACTTAAGATGATGACATATCAATCCCAAGGAATCATCGAAAAATTAATAAGAAAGCCGCCTTAACCAAAGGAACCTGTAGCTAGAGAAACCGGAGGAAATGAGCCGGAAAGAATCAAGGCTCAAATGGGGAAGAATCCGGCTTAAACTTAAGTGTGCATAGGGGGTAAAAGTGTAAATACTCCTAATGATGGTGATTAGATTAAGGATAAATTATATTTTATCTTCTTAAAATATTATACCCTAAAATATTAATTTGTTTCATATCACTCCAATAGTTTTCGTCATCTATTCGAGTTGATATGAAATAAAATTAATAATTTAGAGTATAATGTGAGAAATTTTATAATTGAGAGTATAAAATAAAATAAATATAATAGTTTAGGGGGGTAAAGTATAATTTACTCTAAGTTTTTTTTTTTGAAGAAAGTCGTGCGGATTGAAACGGTGCCGTATAAAATTGGGCGGTAAAAGACGCGCCTCTTTTGAGGCCACCTTGCCTGACCCTTTGCAATATAAAAGGCAGAGCTTCTGGTTCAAAATTCAGAGCACACCTCTCAACTCTCCAAATTAGACTTCTGAACTCTCTCAAATCAAACCTGTCAATGGCACGCGTCCTCACCGAGCTCGACCTCACCAAGCTCGTCCTCACCACGCTCTGTTGAAGAAACTTGCAAAAGATATTGAATCCTTGAAGAAAGCCAACAATGACGTTGTCGAAGCTGTAGAACTGAGGAAACAGTGGAGGAAGAAGACTAGGACAACTAGATCATATGTTGTCTATTGGTAGAGGTCTTATTTATATGCTATGGGCCTTACCTAATTAGGTGGTCTACATTAAGGTGAACGTGGGAAACTAGTATTAAAGTGAATTTGGATCACTCAAGTTCAATCCAGACACATGTATTCTTGTACATGCATTTTATACACCAAAATCATGTGAGAATCACGTGCATTAAGTCAACAAGTTCATTTCTGAAGAAGAGGTGTAAAATGACTGTGCATATTTATATGGTTAATGAAGTCACGCAACGAAGGCATGTGGCAAGAGCCAAGTTTATCGAAGCTAGAAATCCATGAACCAATCAACAAATGCTTGGTGAAATAAGCCGAGCAATCAATCAAAGTTCCCATTGAAAACTACTAACCGAACCGAGCTTCTAGACCGAGCAAAGGATGCAGTTAGCAACTTGTTCACAATCTACTTAAAGATGATGACATATCAATCCCAAGGAATCATCGAAAAATTAATAAGAAAGCCGCCTTAACCAAAGGAACCTGTAGCCTAGAGAAACGGAGGAAATGAGCCGGAAGAAATCAAGGCTCAAATGGGGAAGAATCCGGCTTAAACTTAAGTGTGCATAGGGGGTAAAGTGTAATTTACTCCTAATGATGGTGATTAGATTAAGGATAAATTATATTTTATCTTCTTAAAATATTATACCCTAAAATATTAATTTGTTTCATATCACTCCAATAGTTTTTTCGTCATCTATTCGAGTGATATGAAATAAAATTAATAATTTAGAGTATAATGTGAGAAATTTTATAATTGAGAGTATAAAATAAAATAAATATAATAGTTTAGGGGGGTAAAGTATAATTTACTCTAAGTTTTTTTTTTTTGAAGAAAGTCGTGCGGATTGAAACGGTGCCGTATAAATTGGGCGGTAAAAGACGCGCCTCTTTTGAGGCCACCTTGCCTGACCCTTTGCAATATAAAAGGCAGAGCTTCTGGTTCAAAATTCAGAGCACACCTCTCAACTCTCAAATCAGATCTCAACTCTCAAATCTGACTTCTGAACTCTCTCAAATCAAACCTGTCAATGGCACGCCGTCCTCACCGAGCTCGACCTCACCAAGCTCGTCCTCACCACGCTCTGTTGAAGAAACTTGCAAAAGATATTGAATCCTTGAAGAAAGCCAACAATGACGTTGTCGAAGCTGTAGAACTGAGGAAACAGTGGAGGAAGAAGACTAGGACAACTAGATCATATGTTGTCTATTGGTAGAGGTCTTATTTATATGCTATGGGCCTTACCTAATTAGGTGGTCTACATTAAGGTGAACGTGGGAAACTAGTATTAAAGTGAATTTGGATCACTCAAGTTCAATCCAGACACATGTATTCTTGTACATGCATTTTATACACCAAAATCATGTGAGAATCACGTGCATTAAGTCAACAAGTTCATTTCTGAAGAAGAGGTGTAAAATGACTGTGCATATTTATATGGTTAATGAAGTCACGCAACGAAGGCATGTGGCAAGAGCCCAAGTTTATCGAAGCTAGAAATCCATGAACCAATCAACAAATGCTTGGTGAAATAAGCCGAGCAATCAATCAAAGTTCCCATTGAAAACTACTAACCGAACCGAGCTTCTAGACCGAGCAAAGGATGCAGTTAGCAACTTGTTCACAATCTACTTAAAGATGATGACATATCAATCCCAAGGAATCATCGAAAAATTAATAAGAAAGCCGCCTTAACCAAAGGAACCTGTAGCCTAGAGAAACCGGAGGAAATGAGCCGGAAGAAATCAAGGCTCAAATGGGGAAGAATCCGGCTTAAACTTAAGTGTGCATAGGGGGTAAAGTGTAATTTACTCCTAATGATGGTGATTAGATTAAGGATAAATTATATTTTATCTTCTTAAAATATTATACCCTAAAATATTAATTTTGTTTCATATCACTCCAATAGTTTTTCGTCATCTATTCGAGTGATATGAAATAAAATTAATAATTTAGAGTATAATGTGAGAAATTTTATAATTGAGAGTATAAAATAAAATAAATATAATAGTTTAGGGGGGTAAAGTATAATTTACTCTAAGTTTTTTTTTTGAAGAAAGTCGTGCGGATTGAAACGGTGCCGTATAAATTGGGCGGTAAAAGACGCGCCTCTTTTGAGGCCACCTTGCCTGACCCTTTGCAATATAAAAGGCAGAGCTTCTGGTTCAAAATTCAGAGCACACCTCTCAACTCTCAAATCTGACTTCTGAACTCTCTCAAATCAAACCTGTCAATGGCACGCCGTCCTCACCGAGCTCGACCTCACCAAGCTCGTCCTCACCACGCTCTGTTGAAGAAACTTGCAAAAGATATTGAATCCTTGAAGAAAGCCAACAATGACGTTGTCGAAGCTGTAGAACTGAGGAAACAGTGGAGGAAGAAGACTAGGACAACTAGATCATATGTTGTCTATTGGTAGAGGTCTTATTTATATGCTATGGGCCTTACCTAATTAGGTGGTCTACATTAAGGTGAACGTGGGAAACTAGTATTAAAGTGAATTTGGATCACTCAAGTTCAATCCAGACACATGTATTCTTGTACATGCATTTTATACACCAAAATCATGTGAGAATCACGTGCATTAAGTCAACAAGTTCATTTCTGAAGAAGAGGTGTAAAATGACTGTGCATATTTATATGGTTAATGAAGTCACGCAACGAAGGCATGTGGCAAGAGCCCAAGTTTATCGAAGCTAGAAATCCATGAACCAATCAACAAATGCTTGGTGAAATAAGCCGAGCAATCAATCAAAGTTCCCATTGAAAACTACTAACCGAACCGAGCTTCTAGACCGAGCAAAGGATGCAGTTAGCAACTTGTTCACAATCTACTTAAAGATGATGACATATCAATCCCAAGGAATCATCGAAAAATTAATAAGAAAGCCGCCTTAACCAAAGGAACCTGTAGCCTAGAGAAACCGGAGGAAATGAGCCGGAAGAAATCAAGGCTCAAATGGGGAAGAATCCGGCTTAAACTTAAGTGTGCATAGGGGGTAAAGTGTAATTTACTCCTAATGATGGTGATTAGATTAAGGATAAATTATATTTTATCTTCTTAAAATATTATACCCTAAAATATTAATTTTGTTTCATATCACTCCAATAGTTTTTCGTCATCTATTCGAGTGATATGAAATAAAATTAATAATTTAGAGTATAATGTGAGAAATTTTATAATTGAGAGTATAAAATAAAATAAATATAATAGTTTAGGGGGGTAAAGTATAATTTACTCTAAGTTTTTTTTTTTTGAAGAAAGTCGTGCGGATTGAAACGGTGCCGTATAAATTGGGCGGTAAAAGACGCGCCTCTTTTGAGGCCACCTTGCCTGACCCTTTGCAATATAAAAGGCAGAGCTTCTGGTTCAAAATTCAGAGCACACCTCTCAACTCTCAAATCAGATCTCAACTCTCTCAATCAAACCTGTCAATGGCACGCCGTCCTCACCGAGCTCGACCTCACCAAGCTCGTCCTCACCACGCTCTGTTGAAGAAACTTGCAAAAGATATTGAATCCTTGAAGAAAGCCAACAATGACGTTGTCGAAGCTGTAGAACTGAGGAAACAGTGGAGGAAGAAGACTAGGACAACTAGATCATATGTTGTCTATTGGTAGAGGTCTTATTTATATGCTATGGGCCTTACCTAATTAGGTGGTCTACATTAAGGTGAACGTGGGAAACTAGTATTAAAGTGAATTTGGATCACTCAAGTTCAATCCAGACACATGTATTCTTGTACATGCATTTTATACACCAAAATCATGTGAGAATCACGTGCATTAAGTCAACAAGTTCATTTCTGAAGAAGAGGTGTAAAATGACTGTGCATATTTATATGGTTAATGAAGTCACGCAACGAAGGCATGTGGCAAGAGCCCAAGTTTATCGAAGCTAGAAATCCATGAACCAATCAACAAATGCTTGGTGAAATAAGCCGAGCAATCAATCAAAGTTCCCATTGAAAACTACTAACCGAACCGAGCTTCTAGACCGAGCAAAGGATGCAGTTAGCAACTTGTTCACAATCTACTTAAAGATGATGACATATCAATCCCAAGGAATCATCGAAAAATTAATAAGAAAGCCGCCTTAACCAAAGGAACCTGTAGCCTAGAGAAACCGGAGGAAATGAGCCGGAAGAAATCAAGGCTCAAATGGGGAAGAATCCGGCTTAAACTTAAGTGTGCATAGGGGGTAAAGTGTAATTTACTCCTAATGATGGTGATTAGATTAAGGATAAATTATATTTTATCTTCTTAAAATATTATACCCTAAAATATTAATTTTGTTTCATATCACTCCAATAGTTTTTCGTCATCTATTCGAGTGATATGAAATAAAATTAATAATTTAGAGTATAATGTGAGAAATTTTATAATTGAGAGTATAAAATAAAATAAATATAATAGTTTAGGGGGGTAAAGTATAATTTACTCTAAGTTTTTTTTTTTGAAGAAAGTCGTGCGGATTGAAACGGTGCCGTATAAATTGGGCGGTAAAAGACGCGCCTCTTTTGAGGCCACCTTGCCTGACCCTTTGCAATATAAAAGGCAGAGCTTCTGGTTCAAAATTCAGAGCACACCTCTCAACTCTCAAATCTGACTTCTGAACTCTCTCAAATCAAACCTGTCAATGGCACGCCGTCCTCACCGAGCTCGACCTCACCAAGCTCGTCCTCACCACGCTCTGTTGAAGAAACTTGCAAAAGATATTGAATCCTTGAAGAAAGCCAACAATGACGTTGTCGAAGCTGTAGAACTGAGGAAACAGTGGAGGAAGAAGACTAGGACAACTAGATCATATGTTGTCTATTGGTAGAGGTCTTATTTATATGCTATGGGCCTTACCTAATTAGGTGGTCTACATTAAGGTGAACGTGGGAAACTAGTATTAAAGTGAATTTGGATCACTCAAGTTCAATCCAGACACATGTATTCTTGTACATGCATTTTATACACCAAAATCATGTGAGAATCACGTGCATTAAGTCAACAAGTTCATTTCTGAAGAAGAGGTGTAAAATGACTGTGCATATTTATATGGTTAATGAAGTCACGCAACGAAGGCATGTGGCAAGAGCCCAAGTTTATCGAAGCTAGAAATCCATGAACCAATCAACAAATGCTTGGTGAAATAAGCCGAGCAATCAATCAAAGTTCCCATTGAAAACTACTAACCGAACCGAGCTTCTAGACCGAGCAAAGGATGCAGTTAGCAACTTGTTCACAATCTACTTAAAGATGATGACATATCAATCCCAAGGAATCATCGAAAAATTAATAAGAAAGCCGCCTTAACCAAAGGAACCTGTAGCCTAGAGAAACCGGAGGAAATGAGCCGGAAGAAATCAAGGCTCAAATGGGGAAGAATCCGGCTTAAACTTAAGTGTGCATAGGGGGTAAAGTGTAATTTACTCCTAATGATGGTGATTAGATTAAGGATAAATTATATTTTATCTTCTTAAAATATTATACCCTAAAATATTAATTTTGTTTCATATCACTCCAATAGTTTTTCGTCATCTATTCGAGTGATATGAAATAAAATTAATAATTTAGAGTATAATGTGAGAAATTTTATAATTGAGAGTATAAAATAAAATAAATATAATAGTTTAGGGGGGTAAAGTATAATTTACTCTAAGTTTTTTTTTTTGAAGAAAGTCGTGCGGATTGAAACGGTGCCGTATAAATTGGGCGGTAAAAGACGCGCCTCTTTTGAGGCCACCTTGCCTGACCCTTTGCAATATAAAAGGCAGAGCTTCTGGTTCAAAATTCAGAGCACACCTCTCAACTCTCAAATCTGACTTCTGAACTCTCTCAAATCAAACCTGTCAATGGCACGCCGTCCTCACCGAGCTCGACCTCACCAAGCTCGTCCTCACCACGCTCTGTTGAAGAAACTTGCAAAAGATATTGAATCCTTGAAGAAAGCCAACAATGACGTTGTCGAAGCTGTAGAACTGAGGAAACAGTGGAGGAAGAAGACTAGGACAACTAGATCATATGTTGTCTATTGGTAGAGGTCTTATTTATATGCTATGGGCCTTACCTAATTAGGTGGTCTACATTAAGGTGAACGTGGGAAACTAGTATTAAAGTGAATTTGGATCACTCAAGTTCAATCCAGACACATGTATTCTTGTACATGCATTTTATACACCAAAATCATGTGAGAATCACGTGCATTAAGTCAACAAGTTCATTTCTGAAGAAGAGGTGTAAAATGACTGTGCATATTTATATGGTTAATGAAGTCACGCAACGAAGGCATGTGGCAAGAGCCCAAGTTTATCGAAGCTAGAAATCCATGAACCAATCAACAAATGCTTGGTGAAATAAGCCGAGCAATCAATCAAAGTTCCCATTGAAAACTACTAACCGAACCGAGCTTCTAGACCGAGCAAAGGATGCAGTTAGCAACTTGTTCACAATCTACTTAAAGATGATGACATATCAATCCCAAGGAATCATCGAAAAATTAATAAGAAAGCCGCCTTAACCAAAGGAACCTGTAGCCTAGAGAAACCGGAGGAAATGAGCCGGAAGAAATCAAGGCTCAAATGGGGAAGAATCCGGCTTAAACTTAAGTGTGCATAGGGGGTAAAGTGTAATTTACTCCTAATGATGGTGATTAGATTAAGGATAAATTATATTTTATCTTCTTAAAATATTATACCCTAAAATATTAATTTTGTTTCATATCACTCCAATAGTTTTTCGTCATCTATTCGAGTGATATGAAATAAAATTAATAATTTAGAGTATAATGTGAGAAATTTTATAATTGAGAGTATAAAATAAAATAAATATAATAGTTTAGGGGGGTAAAGTATAATTTACTCTAAGTTTTTTTTTTTTGAAGAAAGTCGTGCGGATTGAAACGGTGCCGTATAAATTGGGCGGTAAAAGACGCGCCTCTTTTGAGGCCACCTTGCCTGACCCTTTGCAATATAAAAGGCAGAGCTTCTGGTTCAAAATTCAGAGCACACCTCTCAACTCTCAAATCAGATCTCAACTCTCAAATCTGACTTCTGAACTCTCTCAAATCAAACCTGTCAATGGCACGCCGTCCTCACCGAGCTCGACCTCACCAAGCTCGTCCTCACCACGCTCTGTTGAAGAAACTTGCAAAAGATATTGAATCCTTGAAGAAAGCCAACAATGACGTTGTCGAAGCTGTAGAACTGAGGAAACAGTGGAGGAAGAAGACTAGGACAACTAGATCATATGTTGTCTATTGGTAGAGGTCTTATTTATATGCTATGGGCCTTACCTAATTAGGTGGTCTACATTAAGGTGAACGTGGGAAACTAGTATTAAAGTGAATTTGGATCACTCAAGTTCAATCCAGACACATGTATTCTTGTACATGCATTTTATACACCAAAATCATGTGAGAATCACGTGCATTAAGTCAACAAGTTCATTTCTGAAGAAGAGGTGTAAAATGACTGTGCATATTTATATGGTTAATGAAGTCACGCAACGAAGGCATGTGGCAAGAGCCCAAGTTTATCGAAGCTAGAAATCCATGAACCAATCAACAAATGCTTGGTGAAATAAGCCGAGCAATCAATCAAAGTTCCCATTGAAAACTACTAACCGAACCGAGCTTCTAGACCGAGCAAAGGATGCAGTTAGCAACTTGTTCACAATCTACTTAAAGATGATGACATATCAATCCCAAGGAATCATCGAAAAATTAATAAGAAAGCCGCCTTAACCAAAGGAACCTGTAGCCTAGAGAAACCGGAGGAAATGAGCCGGAAGAAATCAAGGCTCAAATGGGGAAGAATCCGGCTTAAACTTAAGTGTGCATAGGGGGTAAAGTGTAATTTACTCCTAATGATGGTGATTAGATTAAGGATAAATTATATTTTATCTTCTTAAAATATTATACCCTAAAATATTAATTTTGTTTCATATCACTCCAATAGTTTTTCGTCATCTATTCGAGTGATATGAAATAAAATTAATAATTTAGAGTATAATGTGAGAAATTTTATAATTGAGAGTATAAAATAAAATAAATATAATAGTTTAGGGGGGTAAAGTATAATTTACTCTAAGTTTTTTTTTTTGAAGAAAGTCGTGCGGATTGAAACGGTGCCGTATAAATTGGGCGGTAAAAGACGCGCCTCTTTTGAGGCCACCTTGCCTGACCCTTTGCAATATAAAAGGCAGAGCTTCTGGTTCAAAATTCAGAGCACACCTCTCAACTCTCAAATCTGACTTCTGAACTCTCTCAAATCAAACCTGTCAATGGCACGCCGTCCTCACCGAGCTCGACCTCACCAAGCTCGTCCTCACCACGCTCTGTTGAAGAAACTTGCAAAAGATATTGAATCCTTGAAGAAACCCAACAATGACGTTGTCGAAGCTGTAGAACTGAGGAAACAGTGGAGGAAGAAGACTAGGACAGCATTAAACGAACTCAATTCTCTAAACACTATAGATATTGAGAGTATTGAAGAATTCAAGTATGTGGCATTTGTCAAGAACAATTACGCAATGATTAGAGGAGATAAGAAGAAAAAATTTAAGTGCAGCATAAGGATTCTTCCTAGTCAAGATTCTGAAGAAATTAAGAGAATGGCGAACGAAGCAGGTATTAAGCACACTTAATTTCGTCCTCAACAGTGAATTTCCCATGGCTCACTTACTTTTGTGTCGCAACTGTGAATTTCCTTTGGCTTTGTTTCTTCTCTAGTGAATCTGAATCTATGCTGAATAAGTTTTGTTGAAGTGAATCTGAATCTATGCTGAATTTGAATAAGTTTTGTTGATTAAATTTAGTGCTGATCATGTAAATTCAATTATCCTTCTCTGTCATCCTTCCATGCATGTTTGCTCATAAGAAGTGAGAAAATGACTGGCAAGCAGGCAGTTGCTAACAATGGAGACAGTTTATGACACTTCTATTAAACACTAGTTTAGTAAACTCAATAAATTGTAAAATCAGGATGACGCTTACCTTTTTTGAACAGAGAACTAGATACAAGATATGTCAACATATCTGATTGTGGATCCTAAGTACATTTACCAAAACTTGCCAACTTATTTGTTAATTGATGGGTTTGGAAGAATGCATATCAGTAACAATGCTGATCACATTACTCATTGGCTAACTAAAGAGATCCAAACTGCAGTATAAAATTTCAATTCACCACTAATTATATTCAAATCCAATACCAAAACAAGTGCATTCACTCAACAATACATCAAACTAACGTTCACTCGGCTAAGTACAGCAACCTGATTTCCATTACTCAATCATTAATACATCTGTAACGCAAACCTCACGCGCTAATCCTGGTTCTGTCCTTGTGTAGAGAATGCCATTGCTCCATTTGCCACTTTCCATAAAAATGTTTTAACCTTCCGGATTGCTCGAACATTTCATATCAACTTCCACGGATCTTTTGGAACTTGATAGGAAGATGATGCCGTTGTGGTCCTCTGGGAATTTGTTCCATCTTGAATATGGGTATGATACCCACTCTTAACAGAGTAAAACCCATTCTTGGTGTGTGTCCATCTCAAAGTATCTTGTTGGGGTGTATGACTGAGAGGAATGGCAAGAATGATAGAAGCAATTTCTGGTGGGAAAGATTAGGACACTGAGGGTGAATTCCAGCTTCTTGAGTTGTGGAGTTGTGTGTTGGGTATGTTTTTCTAACTTCCAGATATCAACTTTGCTTCCCTCCTCTATTTTCCAAGAACATCCAACCTTCAAGTGGTCCCTTCCTTCTACAATCCCTTTTCATACCCAAGAGTCTGCAGCTTTGGTTTTTGCTTCCCAGAAATCATAACCTGCATGATACTTTGCTTTCAGAATTTGTGCCCACAAAGAAGTAAATTGTTCTGTTAGCCTCCGTGATTGCTTTGCTAGCATTGCCCTGTTGAAGCACTCAAGGTCCCTAAATCCCATTCCTCCATCCATCTTCCCGTTTGTCATTTGGTTCCAATTCCTCCAATAAATTCCTCTATGCCCTGAGGATTTGCTCCACCAAAATCTTTTAATGCTTGATATTATCTCTTTGCAGAAAGATTGTGGAAACTTGAAAATTGGCATTGCATAGGCAGGGATTGAATAAGAACTTCCTGTCTGCATGGTTAAGAAACTTTTCCTTCCACTCAGCAACCTTACTTAGTATTCTATCCTTCAGCCAGTTCGGCATCTGTCTCTTCGACCAGCCCCATGCAGTTGGTAATCCCAGATACTTCACAACTCTATGTAGGATAGATAACCATAAATGCCCTGCTATCTCCTGCTGGACCTCCACTGGGGTGTTCTTGCTAAAAATTACTCCGGACTTGTTAAGATTCACCAGTTGTCCTGAGGCGTAAAAATATCTATTTATGATTTCCATCAGTTCCTGACTTTCAGTTCTTGTTGTTGGTGAGAACAACACTGCATCGTCAGCAAATAGGAGATGAGAGAGTGCAGAGGCATTCCTGTTGATCTTGAGCCCTTTTAGTGTTCCTTTTGTCATTGCTTTTTGCATCAAGGATGTCAGGCATTCCGTAACAAGCAAGAAAATATAAGGTGACATTGGATACCCTTGTCTAAGTCTCCTAGTAGGATTTACCTTCACAGCTCTTTCCCCTGGGCTGTGCTGTTGGTTCCATGACAGATGAGCGAGGCACAGATAGAGAGAGAGAGAGAGAGAGAGAGAGAGAGAAGGAGGAAGATGGTTTAACTGGCGTGTGTGGGTTGTGTTATGGATTAAGGGTGGCGTGTGTTTGGGGGTTAAAATGTGCGGGATTTGGCATTTGTATGGGATGCATTTTGAACCTTTGGATTAGGTCGGAAGAATTGAGATGAAATTTGGGCCTTTGAATTAAAAGTAGATTTTCGTCTTTATGCTTTTTCAAATGAATTAAAATTGAATTAAATTTTGAAGTAAAAATGGATTCAAAATTTGTTGTATCTTATTATTATAGATGTGGGGGTCCGTTATCCAAATTGGAAATCCAAATAAAAATAACTTGTATTCTTTTCTCTATTTTCTTTTCCTTTTCATTTTTCTTTTCTGGTGGACTACCTGTCCCTCGTATAACTTTTCCAAGTCATTATTCAAAGTTTTCTATTTCTGATCAAAAATAAATAAAAAAACTCATAACCCCCATAAGAACACAATAATTACTGAACCTTCAACCCTTCAATAAATCATTGCCCGCACAACCAGTAATCTAAAACAAAGTTCGTTGATGGGGTTTGGAACCTCATCCACACTGAATAAGGAAGTAGTTTTTCTCAAATTTTTGGCATTAAATAGAGAGACAATCAAGATGGTGAGCTTCACATTAAGTTGGTCAAAAAAATGAGAGCGTACACACATACATGATGCGACTTTACTGGCCAGGAATGATGATTTACTAGGATTACAATGGTTTTGAACGGGTAGTAGATGGTGTACTAGTCATTGTGGTGATATGGGGAGTCGTTATATTAAGGTTGTGGTGAATGAGTTTAGTGGGTGGTGGCCACATGAAAGAAGATGGCTGGGATTGAGAATACTTGTTTTTGGCGGTGATCGGCAACAATAAGGAGGTAGTGATGATATTCTTAGAAACACGCATACAAAAGAAGAGAGAAACTATATTGGCAATGTGTTGTCAATAACAAAGCAATTGTCATCGTGGACTTGATAAAGTAGATAAATGGACAGAGAAAAAGTGAGTCAAGTTTATAACACAGAATAGCTTCAAACTTGCTGAATGGGGATGATATTCTAGTATTTGCTTTTTGAAAACTTGATACAATGGTTTATTATTGATGAATCTTCATTTGTTGCCTATTCGTTTTATCATTGTTGCGCAATATCTTTTAGCACTAAATTTCAGCAAACGATATCAAAAGCATATACACTCAAAAGAAACAAATCACATTACTGTTGCAACTTTCAAGCAAGCAAACAATAAAATCACTTGGGAGAAGATACGTGCAAGATCATCTCTTTTGTGGTATAACACTATTTTTAAAAGCATGTATGCTTGGAAACAAATCAATAAAAAAGTCACCAAATCAAATAATTAATGTTCAATTTGGGACACAAGCATCCAATCCAACAACTGTCCATTAGCGAGAGAGAGAGAGAGAGAGAGAGAGAGAGAGAAATTATGGAACGTCTACAAATAAAATATATTGTGGAGCAAATTCAAGGTAGAATGTGTTAGGAATGTAATTGTAATTGGTTAATTTCGTAATTTTTTTTTTGTAATTCTCAACTTATTCCATGGTTATAATACTAATGATCAGGATTCTTAAGCGTCAAGGAAGCGAGGAGTTCATGCTATAAACTTAAGTATTCTCCAAATACACCTTCAAGCTTAGGTCAAAGGTAATGACCTTAGAGACCAAATAACCCTTGGTTTAAATTCTAAAATTAGGATGACTGGGATAAAATAGAATCGAAATATAATCCGTGAATTTTATTTGATCTTGAAATTACAATTGAAATAATTGTATTCTTAAAATTTTAATCGAGTTTTAATTCAGTCCTTATTCCAAAGATGTATTAATTTGTTCTAACATAAATACATCACATGACTTCCCTATAAGAGGATATTTATTCAGTAAAAACTATATACTTCACATACGTCGATATTTTTCTCTTTGCTTTACAATATCTCTCAAATTTTTACTTAGTATTTTTTTTCGGATTTGTTATCTTCTTTTTCTAAAAATCAAATCAAAACAAAGTAAGATTTTGTTGTCTATGCATCAATAATTTTTTACCCACCTTTAATCCAATTTGCGTGTTGGCCACGAAAAGCCAATCCATCCTAATAAATTACTAGGTTTAGTTGAAATGACTAAATTGAAACTTAATTAAAACTTTAAGGATGAAATAAAAATTAGGTAATATAGATTAAAGGTATAAATTATAATTTAACAAAGAAAGAGACTTCGAGGCTAAGGTCGACCCGAGTTTCTGAGTTGGAGTATGCTCACACTTTGTATGGTCCCACTCCGGTCCGATTCAAGTTTAGCTCGACAACCTTTGGAACGAAAAATTAGAGTGCAATTTAAGGGGCTAACTCAAATTTAATTCGAACCCAACCCAACTTTTTCAATGAATGGGATGAATTTTTAAATACTTGGGTTGGTGTTAAATATAAAAATTCAAATTGAATTCGGGCAATACTTGAATTAGTATTTTGGGTTGACAAAATCAATCCAAACCCAATTTTTGAAATTGGATTGAACTCAATTTCAACTAAAATTCAATCCAAAATTTTAAAGAAAAATAAAAAAAATATACATATATTCATCTTTATTAATGCTTGAAACCCATTAGATATATTAAATTTATTCTTTCTATTTTCTAATTTAGATTTGATTAATGGAATATTTATAGAAATTATGTCCAATTTTGGGGCTAAACACAAAATAAAATCGTATTTTCCTATTGATTTGATTTTAGTTAATAAGAAATTCGATTTTAACCTGAGTTTAAATCGAACTACAACCCGACTAGTCTAATGAGAGTTTAGAAACTTACTCACTGGGTTGGCTCGGGTTGAAATATGGGTTGTGATGGGCTAGGCCCAAAGGCTCTACTCAGGTTACAAGTCCAGCTTTGATAAAGAGCTCAATTAGAAGAGATCCAATAGGC